ACATCTCAGTGAAACAAGCCAGAGATGAATTTCAGGGAAAATCAGAGTTTGAACAGCGTACGTGGATGTTGAACTATTTTCATGGACATCTCACCAAATCTGGAGGCGCTCTTAAAATATGCCTATTGGTTGGGGCCAACGAAGTTTGTGCTAAAGCCTGGATGTTGGTTTACGGGATTGGTAGGACAACATTCTACAAAATTCGGAAACACGCTATTGGTAATGTATGACAAATTTATCTACTGTATAGCCTAATATATAGGTCTGGAGGGGTTCCTTTTAAGTAGCGCCAAAACTCGTACTTGAAAAACAAAAAAGAAAAGTTTTTCGTCCTGCATACCCAGAAATTGCACTCATGACACAAAATGTTGTGCCTTTTAACTTGACTGATATTTATTCCATGACGTAGAAAAATTTAAAATGTTAATATAGCCCCGCAGTTATTAACTTCATAACACCATCTGTTTTTTCAGAAGGGTACTTACATTATTTACCACCAAATTTTACAAGAAAACTAGTCTATAGTAATGCAACCCAGCAATGTAGAGCTTGGTTTTGTAAGTTCTGTAACGAATACGGCGATAAGATGCCAATGAACGATCAGATTCATTTACCCTCGACGCTGACGAAGCACGATGTCTACGAACATATGAAAGATGACTTCGAGTTGGGAAATGAAGATGTTTGTGCACTTGTAACTTTCTATAAAATGTGGACCTCTGAATTCAGACACGTTGTAATACCTGAGGTAAGTCAAACTTCAAAGCCTATATTCATAGTACAGTATCATCTTGTAATGTGATAATTGAAATATAAGATTTAAAATTAGGGATACAATGATTTTTTATGTTTGCGTTCATGGGGTTACTATGAATTGGGTGTACTGGTATCCTTGTGATCCAAAAATGTATTGGAGCTTGATAGAGGAGAGGGTGGTGTGGTGGTTTTGATATATAAAGTGTTTTGTATTCTTTCACCACCACCCACACTTTCCTACCAAAACTAC